ATCCTCACTCAGAGGGAAAGAGAAAGAGTTAGTTGATGAGGCCTTAAATAAGTACCAACTCGACGTTGTTGGATACTCGAAAATGAAGCGTCAAAGCTCTGCGCTGGTAGAACCCAACCTCGTAGACAAAATCATTGGCCGGAAGCCTGTCAGCGGAAGGGTGGTAATCATCCGACTGAAGCTATAAAAGGCTAAAGCGTTGACCTCGGGGACAGGTCTATGTGCTCAATTTGGAACGAGAATATGATACCTTCCATCAGGAAGTGGAGTATGCGCTGTCCGAAGTGTCGAATGCAGAGCCCTTCATACTCACGAGCGATTTTAATGTGCATGTCGGAGTAGACGCTGACAAGCATAACGGCGTAATTGAAAAAAAATAGCGACCTCAACAATAACGGCATGAAGCTGTTGCGGGTTTGTGCAAACAATGGACTGTCCGTTACGAACACCTTCTTCTAGCATCGAAGAGTGCATCAGTATATCCGGTATCAGTACACAAAAGTTGATGATCGATTTCATAATCGTATCGTTTGACTTACGACGCTCAGTAATGGATGTTAGCGTTAAGAGAAGCGCAGAGCAATCAACCGATTACCACCTTGGCACGCTGCGTTGTAAGAAATAGTATACCATGCGAAGATCTGGTGGCAGAAGCAACCAGAGAATCAAATGGAAAATATTATCTTCGGTGGACACGACAGCGAAATTTGCAAACACTGCACAAAGGTTTGAATAGATCCCGGTGATGAACAGAGCTATGCAAACCGAGTGGCAGCTATTTAAGACCGGCATATTCGATGCCGCCGCCTGGAGGTCAAGAAAGATCTTCCTGGTGGACACGAGAGGCACAACTGGCAGTTAAAGAGAATAAGGCAGCGTTCAATCAATTGTTTGGAAACAAAAAGTTTTCTACTCGCGTGCGAATATGGCGAAGCACGCAAGGCGGCAGAGAAAGCAGCGGCAAAATCCAAAACTGATTCTTGGGAGAAGTTCGGTGAGGTGCAGGAGTCGAATTTCCACACGACAAACAAGGTATTCTGACAGACCATCCGCTGGCTCCGAGGTGAAACAAGGGGCAGTCTAAGAGACTTAAAGGACAGGTCTGGACACCCTATTACCAGAGCAGCAGGGAACGGATATTACTATCTCTGTAGATCAAATTACAGAAGCTGTGAAAAGCCTGAATCGTGAGATGCTCAAAGCATTAGGCGAACAAGGCATGTGCTGGCTAACACGTGTCTATCAAACTGCGACGACTACGGGAAAGATACCAGCGGACTGAAGAACGAGAGTTATTGCACCCCTATTCAAGAAGGGAGACCACAAAGAGTGCTCCAGATATATGGGCATTACGTTATTGATCCTCCCAGGTAAAGTCATCGCAAAGATGCTAGAAAAGAGGTGCCGCGGAACAACTGACTCCAGGATACAAGAAGAGCAGTGTAGATTCAGGCCCTGTCGAAGCATCCCTGACCATATATTTTCTCTACGCCAGATCACTGAGAAGTCGTGGGAGTTCGACAATACGGTATACATGTGCTTTACTGACCTAAAAAACCTATGACCGGATCCCACGCAACAATCTGTGGTCATGCCTTCGAGCGTACGGGATAGATCGCCAGCTGCTAAGGGTCATGCAATCACTGTATTCTGATAGCAGATGCTGCGTCAGAGTATGTCGAAATGGCGAATGTCGAATGGTGTTATGTCGAAACAATTCAGCGTTCGCACTGGTCTCCGCCAAGGCTGCGTCCTGTCCCCTCTCGTGTTTGTGCAGAGGAGTCGAGACGATGAGTGTATCGGTGTAGGGGATGTGAAGACGAGAAGGCTGCTGTTTGCAGATGACCTTGTTTTATTAGAATCTTCTGAAACTGATCCCCAGAGCTCCTTAGAAACGTTCGCAGCCGAGAGCGACGTGACCGGCATGCATGTGAACGCATCTAAAACGAAAAGCCGAGTGCTTTTTCTTTCTCCTCTCCGCTGCTCTCTTCAGATTAACGGAGAGGCAGTGGAGAAGTTCAAGTACTTCAGAGTCGTATTTACTAGTGATGGAAAATGTGAGTGGCCTTCTGCATGAGCTAGTATGATAGATTGTGGCAAAAGCAGCGCTCCGTCTGAAAACCTAGCTTTTGGTATTCAAGTCGATCGTTATCACTATGTTTACCTACGGTGAGTTGAGTCGTGAATGATGCTGAAATGCTTTTTACTAGGGTACAGGCTGGTTTAATGGGCTTCTTTAGAGGAGTCGCCGGCCCTTAAGCGTCTGGATATGGTCGGGAATACTGACATCTTGGAGAGCCTTGGTGTACAGCCTCTGCTTCTTTAGACTGTCAAGTCATAGCTGCGATGGTTTGGGCTTGTGTTGCGAATGCGAATGCCTCCAGAAAGGAAGGCTAAGCAACTTCTACTTGTGAAACCGACTGGCAGAAGGCCCAGAAGACAGCCAAAATTAACTTTGTGCAAATATATGGAGGGAGTCTGTTCCAGACTCCAGCTGTTTTCTGCCGGAGCCCAGACCCTGGCACAGCATCGGGAACGTTGGAAGGTATCTCTGACGCGTCTGCCTTTGCGATTCGAAAGGAAAAACTGCCATGAAAGATGAAGGTGTCTAGTACTGTTTTTAGCAATGACGGAACAGAAACTCACACTAAGCTACTTTCTTTACTGTTGCATTATCAGGTCTTTTGTCCGGATATAGTTCCTTATAACGTTTGACGTATGGATGATTCTGGATAGCTTCTGCTGCATTGCTGTATCTTGTATTTAATGAGAAAGTCCATTTCTGTACTCATCCTCACAGTAGCATCATCTATGCACTTCAGATCAACAAAAAACCTGTCCAATGTAAGAAAGATCATTCTGGAATGAATTCTTATTCGTCGCTTAAATATAGCGCACCGCTTCTGATAAAAAGTTCTGGCAAAATATCAACCAAACAGTGGAAGTAAAAGTGAATCGTTCTAGCCGGCAACGCAATTAATATGGAATATAAAGACTGCCAATATGATCAATCATAAGTGTCTATTGTAGAAACGGCAAGCTACAAAGTTGGATTAAAGCGATACTCGCATGCATTTGAAACAATCGCTAATTGCCACTGCAGCTCGTTTTGAAAAACAAAAAGGATCACGAGAGTTCGTAGCCAATGGGATGTCGGACTCTCTTACTCTTCCCTGATCGACACTATTTTTGACATCTTTCTTTTATATGGAACTTATGGTGCAGGTTGATCTTCATTTCTATATCACCATGTCTGCTTTATTCTGAAGTTAGCGTCCACAGCCATATGGCAAATACAGTGATGTAGTATGCAGTGTCCTGCTTCATTTCCGATGAAGGAATATTCTTTCAGCAATCTTGGAAGGATGACAACAGCTGAATGACACAATAAGGGTCAAATTATGATCTTTCGACAGTGGGCTCTGCGTTACATGGACTGAAGAATCTCCATCACGACAACAGCATGCGTTGTCGGTTGCAAAAGTAATAACCCAAAGAAAACGGCACTTGTTCGCTGAGTGTACGTGATTATTTTCCCCTAACTAGTCTTGTTACTGGGTTAGTTAGCAAACTGGCATCGCCGCACACCTTTTTACGTCGATCAAGTACCATGAATTTCGGTCCTTACGAGCCACCGAACGAATCTGCTTCAGGTTAGTGACCATCTGATCGCCATCACCTATATTCCACAGGAAGATGATCTGGCGATTCCTCAGTTCGACGGCCAGGTATTCAGACATTCGCTAAACGAGCGCTTTCAACGACAATCGACAATTAACGAACGTTCACGTATCAACTGTTCTTACGGTGCGTGTCTTATCCGTCTGCGTTATGAAAAGTAGTGAATCTGGCACGCCGTCTAACGGTCGGTAGGCTATATGCAATTCGTTGCTTACGCTGGGAGCAGCGGGCGACAAGTACGAACGCAAGCAACCGGCTTCGTCTGATTTCACCGACAGCTTAACCTGAAGATTAACGCGATGGTTAATATACAACCTACATAATTAGACTGCGTGACTAGCGTATCAGAATCAATCAGCGAATGAGTTGCACCTTGGACGCTTTCTCTCTAACTTCCTTGATCTTCTCTTTAAGAAATGACAGCTGGTAATTCAGGTCGTTCACATGCTGATCGTTTCTCATGGCCTGTTTGCGGACCTCGCTCAAGCTGTCTCTGGCGCGCACCATCTTTTCATATGATTCTTTCACTAAACAGATAAAAACGATTCTTCTTTCACTAATCAACACAAGGTGTACGCAGGAAAATAAAATAAAATAAATCGGCTTCAACAGTGATTGCTGGCACACATCTAATGAGTGTTACTCAAATATTACGATATATTAACGAAAACATCCCTGTAAAATGGGGTGCGAAAGAGTAAATCCGCTAAAAACGCCCGTGTTGAAGTTTACGTTCAAGCTTAATTGTCTTATTTATTGAAGACTGAAAAGAAGGAAGAACGAGAAGGAATGAGAAGCAAGATAACGAGGAGGGGAGAAAGAATAAGAATGAATAGGATCAAAACAAGTAGGTTAAGGAAGTACAGGAAAAGATAAAGAAAAGATGACGAAGAGAAGAACGGGCAAAAGAAAATATGAAAGGTAGCAGCATTAAAAAGTGAAAAATTCTAATCATGATTAAAAGAAGAAGCGAGTGAAACAAAAGAATGCAAAGGTGATGATCATGATTATTTTGAAAGAAACAAGGAAATACGCTAGATTTCATTTTTGGTCACCTAAAAAAATACGCTTAAATGAGGCACGAACCACGAACCGTGCATCACAACACGAGTTGCGCAAGAACATCAACGTCGACTCATCTTCGTCCATGTATCGACTAAGTTCTCAGCAGTTCAGATAAGTTTTAGACAGCCTGCCACACTCTCATGACTTCTGCCTATGTGAAATAAACGTCTTTGACCATTAGGTATCTAATGATAACCGGTGATGCTCTTAAGCTAAGACCTCGCGTTTGTTATTGGGCTAAGACATACTATGATTTATGAACAGAATATCCGGAGAGGCAAAGAATGGTGCTAAGCAACACTGAAACGGCATGGTTACTCTAATGAAGCGGTTGCCAACGTTAACGTCGAAAAAACTTCGTCCACGCGCTGTAAGAACCGGTTCGATCGAAGTCACAAACTAACAATACGGTAAAAACAGGATAACGATTAGCAGCCCATGATTTCGTCCGCGCCGACCTTCCAGCGATTTTCTTCGTTCATGTGGCAGAGCAATGAACGATTCTTTACACAGCTGCAAAATGTCATTCTCATAGTCAATTTATTGCGTTCGGGGTGGCCAAGTGAATCATTTTCGTTCCTCCACGATAGGCGTGGGTGCGACAATGGTCAAT